TGTCTTTTTACCCGACGTGACCCCGTCTTTTATATTTTACCAAAAAATTGGGTAATAATAAATGTTTTATAATTTAATATAGGGGAAACTGTTTTTAAATTTCTGTAATTTTTCCTTAATATATAAAAAAATAAAACCCCCAGTGGTGAATAAATACCACCAAAAGAAAGCTCTATCTGTCCCAAAAAAAGGGTATAAAATTATTTCAGTACAGCGCTGCATGACGGAATAAATGTCAGAGTATGGCAGCGCTGAATACTGAAAAATGGCCTGGATGGGAAGGGGATCCAACTGGTTAATAGCCCATCATGCACAGACCAATGTAGATTTCCATTATCGTTCGTTACCAATACTAACTAGCAGAATTTCGTCACTCCACAGAATGGATTTTCGTTTGCGCAGTGTTTGTGTTGCGATTTTTTTCCCCATACAAAAACACCACTAATCCACCGATTTTTGTACGAATTCGGAAATTCGGCCAGATGTACAGTGATTGTGATAATTGACTTCCCATCAACTGGCCGATTAGCGTACAAAAACCTGATCGTGTTTGACTTCCAAACGATAATCGCAAGGTGTATGGGCACCTTAAACAGTGAAAGCAGAAGCAGCAGGCTGATGAGCTGAACTTTGCTCTCTCCTCCTCTTAGCCTGTTACATCATAAACATTGCAGCACAGCTGCCTCCTGGTGCTGCTTCTGGCTCCCCAAGCCTGAGCTCTGCTGTAGAGGGAGAAGCAAGCAGCTGATACCAAGTCACATTCAGGCATTGCCACTGCTTACACCTAAACGAATACATTTAATGAGGGATTTATTGCTGCATTGATCTGTGACAATCTGCACGGAGTAGTTTTATCTGCTTATTAAAAAGGTGTCAGAAGAAGAGAAGAAGACAGAGGCACATTATATAAAACAGAGTCCAGTGACACATGCTGTGAAAGCATTGCGAATAATGGAGTTCACCCACATAGGACAATGCAGAGCTGTGCTAATTAGAATAGGCAGGGTGTGACAAGGACCTGCCATGCCATGTGTACTCTGCCTTCCAGGGGCAGAGCAGTGCCAGCCCGGTACCCACCTCAGGAAAGGAGCCCTTGGCATAGACCATGAGCAGCGAAGTCTTCCCGCAGCCTCCATCCCCGACTATGACTATCTTGACCTCTTTCCTGCCCTTGTCTCGGCTCTTGTTCGCCTCTCCGGTGCCATTGCTGACAGTCCCGTTGGGTTGTTGGGTCATGGTGCCGCAGTCAGTCCATGAGAAGGTGACAACGCACAGCACTCACCCTCCGCCAGCCGCCTAAACACTGCCAGCTCTGACAAGCGCAAGAGAGCCGCAGGCACTAGCCTAGCTTTTGCTGGCCATGATTGGCTGGCGCGGGTCACGTGAGGAGCACTCTCACACCCACCGCTTTTTAAACCTAAAAAGTTTAGATCGTACAAAGCTCCAGCCGGTGTGTGGTCACCTATCACCCGGGATTGTGTCCCAGTCAGAACCAACCATAGAACCGGGGCAGAGGAACCACTGTGCCCCCAGACGGAGCTTTTAATACTTTAGAGAGGCGTTCTCTGAGCGTGTGACGGGTCACTCCCTGCTAATAAATGACATAGGTAATATATGGTGAGCTGTTTCCTCTTCTCAGCTGAAAGATGGTAAACCTCAACAAAATGGTTCACGCAATCTCATCCATCCAGAACCATTTCCTCACAATGTTCTCTTCAAACACTGACTCATTTTCTGTGGTTAAAGAACAACTCCGGAGACATTTTCTCTTCTTAACCCTTCAGTGGTGCACTGCCAACCCCGCACTGCAAGGGTTAACTGATTGTTTTTTGTCTAGGTGCAAAAATATAGGCACACTTTTCTGCACAATATATTGAGGCAATGCAGTGGCGTCACAAGGGGGGTGCAGGGGGTGTGGCCCGCACCCGGCTGACACCTTTGGACGGGTGACACCAAAATGACTGACAGTCAGAGAGCCCGGCAGTGTCAGGAGAGAGGAGGGGACCTGGCGGCATACCTCATCCCGCCGGGTGAACGTCTCCTCCTCTCTCTGCTGGCGTCCATCATCAAGATGGCCGCCGACAGGCGTTAATTAGATGACCGCGCGTGCGCGATGACGTCACCCAGGACGCCCCTGCAATGGATGCACCCCCAGTTATAGGGACCATTAAGAATGTATATGCCAAAAATGATTGGTTAAACCCACATTTTTTTGGTGTCACAATTACTTTTTCTTTAGGGCCCATTCACACCAGAGTGTTGCCTTAATCACACGTTACTGTGTATTTAGTGCACAGTATCGTACAACACACCTAGGGGGGAATTTATCAAAACTGGGGCAGAGACAATCTGGAGCAGTTGCCCAAAGCAACCAATCAGCGTCTCTATTCAGTTTGATCAGTTAGTCCTGGTTCACACTGAGCGTTTTGTAGCACTTTATCTACCCTAACAAAAACACTCACAAAATCTGCCCCCCAAAAAATCCCATTCATTTCTATGGCTCTGTTCACATTTGAGCGTTTTGTCGCAATAAGCAAAACGCCTGTCGCTGGAAAAAGTACAGGAGCTTTTTTTTGGGCATATTACAGCTCGTTTTGGCCCCATAGATTCAATAGGAAATGCTTGAAAACACCTGTTTGCTGTGTTTTCGTGCGTTTTTATGTGCATTTTATGCGCTTTTTCTCATTAACATCAATGAGCTACAATCTGCTCACAAAACGTGCTTTTTGCCGTATGCGCATAAAACTGGCATAAAAACACACAAAAAACGCTCAGAAACGCGCAGCAGAAAATGTGCAGAAAAAGTGCAGAAACGCTGATGCTGAACCAGGCCTAAAGCTTTGAAAATGAAAGAGAGAAGCTGATTGGTTGCCATGATCAACTGTCTGCAAGGTGCATTGCATTGCCATTCATTTGTGGGATACCGCAATCTGTTGCGTTGTGGTAAAAAGTAGTGCCTGCATACTTTGCTCACTGCAATGCACGGTATTGCGGCATTGCACTGCGCTGCAATGTACAACCACCGGAAGGTGTGTTGGGGTGCCATTCAAATGAATGCCAACGCATTTTTTATAGATATATTAAATACATAAAATATTTTATAACATTTTTTTGTTGTTTTGCCAGTCCAAACCTCCTCAAGCCTTCAGCATAACCCACTTGTCATAGACTATTCTCCAATCCTTTGTCCCCTTATTGAATGATAAAGAAAATGCTTCCGCACTGGTAACCATTGGGAGGAAGAATGACCTGGCACTGATGGTCAGAAGGCGAAAGAATGCCCCAGCATTGGTGTCAGTGGAATAAAGTACCCCCCCCTAGCATTGGTGTTGTGGTGGGCTGCTGCCTTCTGTTGATCCAATGGGAGCTCAGTCACACCCATTAGTGTTCAGTGGTTCACTTACCTGAGAGGTGGAAGAGCCACGCCAGCTGTGGCAATTGACAGAAGTGCCGGAACTTTTCAGGCACTGTCTGCCAAGAATTGACTCCCGGACATGTCTTGGACTCAGCAGACCCTGGGATGTTATTTATATGATGTGGGATCCAGGTTGGTTGGGGGGTATGGAAATGCATGGCTTTCAAGGGTGGAACTACCGGTGGTGCAGCAGGTGTGGCCATCCCGGGGGCCCAAGGCGATTGGGAGGCCCACTGAGATCTGGTCCCGGGGATTGTAGGCATAGAGGGACTGACTGGGGCCCCCTTAAAAACGTCCGCCTCAGCAGCGATCACTCTTCTCAACTCTCTCCTCTCACTGAGAGGAGAGAGCTGAGAAGAGTGATCGCTGCTCTCGATCACTGAAGCACGCACATGGTAGTGAAAGCTGCACAGATTCAGAGCGGCCGAGGAGAAGAATCTGTTCAGCTGTCACTACAATGTGCCCGCTTCAGTGATCGGGCTGCTCGGCGGCCACCTGCAGCTTCCTCCGCCTGCCTCAGCAGCTATAGGCTATAGGAGGAAGACTGCAGCATCACCATTGGCCGGCTGTACATAACAGGAGAGCGGGTCCTGAGGAGCACTAACCTCTGTACTCTGCATTACACTGCTGACCTATGCACTCCTGTGTTACACCGCTGAGCTCTGTACTCTGCATTACACCACTGACTTCTGCACTCTGCATTACACCACTGCACTCTGCGTTATACCACTGACTTCTGCACTCTGCGTTATACCACTGACCTCTGTACTCTGCCTTACAACTGACCTCTGCAGCTTAGAAATTAACATTTTCAAATTGATTACACTGCGTTAGGTCCTGCGCAGTAGCCTTCTGTGGAACCACCCGGCACCTGCTTACAGCGCTTTTGCCGCCAACGCATCTCCTCCTCCTGAGACCCTCTGTACCCCTCCTGAGGCCCTCCACACCCCTCCTGAGACCCTCTGCACAAGACATCAGGCCGGCATTCTAGAACCGAGAGGCAGAACAGAGTATGTACCAAATTCATATACCATTATTCTGCATTGCTTTATAATGTATTGCTGGGATTTGTAGTCCTCTATAGATGATGGCATTCTGCATTAGAGAGTAAGCTACTCTGCACATAGACTGATGTGACTGTCTCAGTGTTCTCTGTACAGTACTACGTTATATGTCAGAGCTATGCGAATGTAAAATAATAGTGTGTGACTATGGGAGGACATTAGAGTGTAAGCTTCTTTAGTGCAGAGAAAGTTGGGGGGCCAGTGAGATCCAGTTATCCAGTTCTGGCACTCCCCCCCCCCTTGGGAGCAGGAGGGGGGGGGGGGGGG